CAGAACGACCCCCACGGAATCACTGTCCAATGGACTAAAACCTCAAACCACGCCGTAGAAAACATGCAGGGAGAACCTCAAACCCTGCAAAACTGAAAGACGCCAGTTACCTTCCTTCATCCCGCAAAGGCGCTTGAGAAGAAAGTTGCCATGATGTTTAACCAAAACAGGAGCAGGGTTACTGTTCGCTCCAGACTTCGTTCTCACACCCACAGAAGTATAACGTGGGGGCGGGGGCCGCAAACCCTGTATTCCCGGAGCACTGGGGGGCATATCAGCAACGGTACCCTGCGCGGAATGGCGCGGCATACTCTGAGGGACGCAGGGAGGGCCTGGGGGACAGCCCTCCATTCTTGACAGGCCGCTGACCCCAAACCAAAGGGCCAAGGCCTTCGCACCCTCATCTCCTGCCACTCTTCCCCCAAACTAGAGCTCCAGGGCCAGGCAAGGAGACGGCCTGGGGTGAAGGATCCATATTAAACAAAAGCGAGCAAGCGGGGCGCTGTCTCCCTAACTTTGCCTAAAGAGTCGCCGCGACACAAGGGCTTCAATCCTCCCCTCCTCGGCCTCTGCCAACGGGCCAATCTTCTACCAGCGCCCCACTACCCCCCGAAATGCGCCCCCGGCCCCTCACTACTCAGAAATAGTTGTGCGGGGAGCGAGAAAGTGGTTCCCCCGCCCCGACCCCGGGGAGGAGTGGCGACTACGACAGCTGGAGAGCCAGGATGGACGCCGATGCCGCCCAGACCGAGGAGAAACTCACCTCGGCAGCTTCTACGTCCGGGGCCGGAGCTGGAAAGGAAGAGGCATGCGCGGCGCGCCGCGGCGTCTCTTCCGGGCTGGCGTGCTCCGCCCCCCCGCGAGGACCCGCGGGCTGCCTGGGGTGGCCTCGGCGCTGCCTGAGAGGGGGCCGCGGCGGACCTTGACCTCCCTGGTTACACACGCACGTGGGAGCCGCCGCTGGACCTGTGAGCCTGCGTGCTTGGTGGGAAAATGGTTACTCTTATGCTTGGACAGGCACTTTTGATACACGCTACTTCTTTATTTCCCAGCGATAAATTAACTTATAATTATGGAAATAGTAGCTGTTCTTTGAGAGGGGAGAGAACATACAGACAGAACAATAACAATAATAAAAGAATAAAACAGAATCCTGTAGGCTAAAGATAATGGCCATTAACATTTTGGTGTCTGTTCTTCCAAACTCAAACGCACCCAAGCAAATATATGTATGTATTGGACAAGAATGGGATGTTTTGCGTGTACGTTATGTAAGATGTGGTTGGTGACCTGTGTTTTTCCACTTACCAATACATCATGAATCTCTTTTCATGTTAATTAATACCTACAATTATAGTAACAGTAGTCCACTGGTGGATAGTTTAATCAACACTCTGGATATATATTTTTAAAACCCTTTACTATTATAAGTAACAATACCACACACATATTTGCACAATTGTCCAATATTTTCCTTAGGATACGTTCCTGAAGTTGTAATTACTGAGTAACAAAGCACACATTTTTACATATTTGACACAGTCTACATTGACTTCCAGAAGGCGTTATCATTTTCATTCTAGTCAGCAGTGCTAACAAGGCTCACTTCCCCCATTAACCCTGCTGGGATTGGATAATATTTTTTTAAGATTTTATTTATTTATTTGTTAGAGAGAGAGACAGCACAAGCCAGGGGAGCGGCAGGCAGAGAGAGAAGCAGGCTCCCTGCTGAGCAAGGAACCTGATGTGGGGCTCCATCCCAGGACCCTGAGATCATGACAGAGTGGAAGGCAGACATTTAACTGACTGAGCCACCCAGGCTTCCCTGGATAATATTCTTAGTCATTTTTTGTCAGTCTGATAGATAAGACCTACTTGTGCGCTCTCTCTCAAATGAATAAATAAAATCTTTAAAAAAAAAAAAAAAAAAAGAATGAAGAACCATGACAAGAAGACAGGCTCGAGTGAAAGAAGTTGGTGAAAATCCCCCTTAATACTTTGCTTTCATATCACAATTAATTGCTTCTCAACAAAGACATGGACTCTCTAAAAAAAATCCCAAGCCCTGGGACACCTGGGTGGCTCAGTCGGTTAAGCATCTGCCTTCGGCTCAGGTCATGATCCCAGGGGCCTGGGATGGAACCCCGCATCAGGCTCCTTGCTCAGCTGGGAGCCTGCTTCTCCCTCTGCCTGCCGCTCCCCCTGCTTGTGCTCTCTCTCTGACAAATAAATAAAATCTTAAAAACAACAACAACAAAAAACCCAAGCCCTACCATGGCCCACAGAGCTATGAGACCTCCATCTTCTGACTCTCCTGCTGTCTTCTGGTTCAGAGAGCCACTGGCTGACTCCTTCCTTCAAGTGTTTGCTTAAATTGCACTTAGGCAGCTTTCCCTGAAAACCCCACCGAAAATTGCACTGTGCATCCCCCTGCTTGAATTTTTCCCTGTAGCACCCCAGGCCACGGACATATTATATACTCATTTTTGCTTACCAGTTTCCTACTACTAAAACAAACAGCAAGTTCAACGAGAAAGGTCTGTTATACATATTACTGTCTCTCTAGCTCCTAAAGCAGTGCCTGGCAAGTCAAATACTCAATATATATTGACTGAACGAACAAACATCTGTTATTCCAAGTCAATGCAAACACCTGCTGTTTAAAAACAAGATCCTGAACTATTTTTTAAGAAAACAACAAAGATAATTTAAGTGGGCGCCCTCAAGGAGCTTGCAACACAGGAACAAAACCACAAAACTAAGAAGGGCATGTTGCTTTCTTAGAAATTTTCAATTTTGCCCTGGTTCAAGGTCTTCTGTGTCCCCAGTGAAGAGGGCTTTTCTCCTAATCCCATCCATCAAATCCATGTACAAGGCAAGAAACATAAAGGACTCCAGCTAAAGATGACCTGAAGATTGAGACCAAGAATCTTTCCTGTCACTTTGGCACTTTCAAGGGCTGAGCCCGAGATTCTCCCCCAATGCCCCTGACAGAGATGACACATTACTCACGGGGCACAGCGCTTCGTCTGTAGGTATCTCTGTCAGCTTCCCCTCGTGTGAGTCTTGCAGGTCGCTCTCCCTCCAGACCTATACAAATTAAACCACACTGTGAATGTAGGGCAATGTGGGAACTCTGTTCCCTTCGGGCCAAGAAAAGTGGGAATTGCTCTTCTATTCTCACTGGCAGCAACTTAGTTATGATGGCATAAAGGGGACAGAACTCTTGGACCCAGAGCTGTCAGCTAGAAATTTTGTCATCACTGACACTGGCTTCTTAGAAGTCTAGGAAAACACTCAATTAAAATGCTACCCATCTGCAAAAAGATTGCTTTTTTCTATTGTATTTCTCAACACAGATATTTTCCAATTACTCGGCAAATTAAGCAATCCAACCGTTTCTACAAACACCTGAATAGCCAAAATTTTGAACTTGACCCATCTCTGAAATGGAAAATCTCCTGTGCAAACAGGAAAGGAGGCACCATGAGCTGAAAGCCCCACCTCCAGCAGTCAGTGTATAAATACAGAGGCCAACAAGAGTCCTTTAGTTGCCCTGGGCTTCTCCACACACCTCACTAGGCTGTGGGATATATATATGAAAGCAGACTAAAAAGCTTTTAAAACATTCTCATAAACACTGGAAGTTTAATCTGGTATTCTACCTAGTTACCATGGAACTTTACTTCGAGTCTACATGATTAAATATAGACTGTACTTGATTTTGAACACAGGTTTGAACTCCATGGGTTCACGATTCCTTTTTCAATTAACTACTGTATAGTAGTAGAGCAAATATATTTACTTAAGATTTTCTTAATATTTTCTTCTTTATTGTAAAAATATCAATCGACCATTTGTTATCAGTAAGACTTCTGGTCAACAGGCTGTTAATAGTTTTCAAGAAATCCAAGTTACACATGGATTTTGGACTATGGGGGTAGGGATAGGGTTGGGGATGGGGACAATGAAGACACAGGCACCACGACCCCTAAGCTGTTCCAAGGGCCAACTATAGTTTTAAGTATGAGAAGTTAGACTGAACCTGCAGTGAGTGGCTAAAATAAATGCTAGGTCCCATCTATGCCAACCAAATCAGAATCTGTGAGGGCGCAGACAATGGAATCCCCGCCCCGGCCCCGCCAACAAGGGATTCCAAGATGCAGTGGAGAACCTCTGCTCTACAGATACATAATCCCACCCAACAAGCCTCTCTCCAGGAGAACCCGGACAGTCCGGTGATTGTGTTTTTAGGAATCTCTGCACCTCATCACCGAATTCCAAACTGCTCTTCCTACAAAGTTCCTGTGACAAGTTCTTTCAGAACCAAAGGAAAGAGAACCATAACCTTGACAAACTGCAACTGTGAGCCAGCCATGATCTTGAGCCAGAATGTAATTCACCATCCCCCCCCCCCGGCACATCCTTTCTCCCCTATTTGACTTTTGATTATTTTTGCTCCCATTGCCAAGAAACTCTAGAGTTAAACTCTCCATTTCTCTCACATGTGGTAAACAGCTTTGCTCTGTCCCGTAAAAGTTACCCAATGCTCAACCACATGTGCCTGGACGAAGACTATATTGTGTGTTTAATGGCATCTCCCAGGATGGCCCGAAGACCTGACCTGATTGTGGTTTCCATGACAACTCCCATGTGAGGAGACAAAGGTCCCAGGACTTGGCCCAGGTCCTGCATGCCAGAGCCCCCTCTAAAGCGGACACCAATGGTGTATTGTGAGACCTCTTCTGTCTGATCCCCCCTCCCCCCACTTTCACGGATACCCTTCCCCGAAGAAAGAGCAGCTTCAGTGCAGGACTTCATCTGGGCAACATACCTTTGGGCCGTGGTCGGCCAGTCTCAGGGCGGCTGCGGCGCAGAGTAGCAGGCACAATCTCGGGGGGCAGGTGGAGGTAATCACGGAGATACTGGATGCCCTCGTTGGTAAGGTACCAGTAGAAATGTCTCCAGGCAAACTGTTCCTTTACATAGCCTCGTGATTTGAGAGACTGGAAGACAGAACACGACTGTCAAGACGTAACCAGAGGCTCAAATCTAGAAACTCCGTGCAAAAGGCAGCTAAATTGCATAGACAAGTTTTCACCGTGTATCTACCTCAGCGCCCTTCAAGGCAGCAAGCAGCTCTGGCTGTCCTGACCTCTCCTTGGAATCTGCCTCGGACATTTAGTGGAAAATCCCTCCATCTGCACCCCACTCGAGCAGCCCCCAGGCTACCTGCATGGCCTTCATGACGTGAAGGTTGGGCACATTCTTGTCTGCCAGCTCAGGATGTTTGGGCATGTGGACATCCTTCTTGGCCACCATCACTCCTTCCTTGAAAAGGAGTTCATAAATGGCAATTCGGTTCTTCTTGGGCATCAACATCTGGAAGGAAGCGCATCATCAAGAGCATTTCTGAGCAATGGAGCCAGGGTCCAGCAACCAAGTTCAGGACCCCAGAACGACCCCCACGGAATCACTGTCCAATGGACTAAAACCTCAAACCACGCCGTAGAAAACATGCAGGGAGAACCTCAAACCCTGCAAAACTGAAAGACGCCAGTTACCTTCCTTCATCCCGCAAAGGCGCTTGAGAAGAAAGTTGCCATGATGTTTAACCAAAACAGGAGCAGGGTTACTGTTCGCTCCAGACTTCGTTCTCACACCCACAGAAGTATAACGTGGGGGCGGGGGCCGCAAACCCTGTATTCCCGGAGCACTGGGGGGCATATCAGCAACGGTACCCTGCGCGGAATGGCGCGGCATACTCTGAGGGACGCAGGGAGGGCCTGGGGGACAGCCCTCCATTCTTGACAGGCCGCTGACCCCAAACCAAAGGGCCAAGGCCTTCGCACCCTCATCTCCTGCCACTCTTCCCCCAAACTAGAGCTCCAGGGCCAGGCAAGGAGACGGCCTGGGGTGAAGGATCCATATTAAACAAAAGCGAGCAAGCGGGGCGCTGTCTCCCTAACTTTGCCTAAAGAGTCGCCGCGACACAAGGGCTTCAATCCTCCCCTCCTCGGCCTCTGCCAACGGGCCAATCTTCTACCAGCGCCCCACTACCCCCCGAAATGCGCCCCCGGCCCCTCACTACTCAGAAATAGTTGTGCGGGGAGCGAGAAAGTGGTTCCCCCGCCCCGACCCCGGGGAGGAGTGGCGACTACGACAGCTGGAGAGCCAGGATGGACGCCGATGCCGCCCAGACCGAGGAGAAACTCACCTCGGCAGCTTCTACGTCCGGGGCCGGAGCTGGAAAGGAAGAGGCATGCGCGGCGCGCCGCGGCGTCTCTTCCGGGCTGGCGTGCTCCGCCCCCCCGCGAGGACCCGCGGGCTGCCTGGGGTGGCCTCGGCGCTGCCTGAGAGGGGGCCGCGGCGGACCTTGACCTCCCTGGTTACACACGCACGTGGGAGCCGCCGCTGGACCTGTGAGCCTGCGTGCTTGGTGGGAAAATGGTTACTCTTATGCTTGGACAGGCACTTTTGATACACGCTACTTCTTTATTTCCCAGCGATAAATTAACTTATAATTATGGAAATAGTAGCTGTTCTTTGAGAGGGGAGAGAACATACAGACAGAACAATAACAATAATAAAAGAATAAAACAGAATCCTGTAGGCTAAAGATAATGGCCATTAACATTTTGGTGTCTGTTCTTCCAAACTCAAACGCACCCAAGCAAATATATGTATGTATTGGACAAGAATGGGATGTTTTGCGTGTACGTTATGTAAGATGTGGTTGGTGACCTGTGTTTTTCCACTTACCAATACATCATGAATCTCTTTTCATGTTAATTAATACCTACAATTATAGTAACAGTAGTCCACTGGTGGATAGTTTAATCAACACTCTGGATATATATTTTTAAAACCCTTTACTATTATAAGTAACAATACCACACACATATTTGCACAATTGTCCAATATTTTCCTTAGGATACGTTCCTGAAGTTGTAATTACTGAGTAACAAAGCACACATTTTTACATATTTGACACAGTCTACATTGACTTCCAGAAGGCGTTATCATTTTCATTCTAGTCAGCAGTGCTAACAAGGCTCACTTCCCCCATTAACCCTGCTGGGATTGGATAATATTTTTTTAAGATTTTATTTATTTATTTGTTAGAGAGAGAGACAGCACAAGCCAGGGGAGCGGCAGGCAGAGAGAGAAGCAGGCTCCCTGCTGAGCAAGGAACCTGATGTGGGGCTCCATCCCAGGACCCTGAGATCATGACAGAGTGGAAGGCAGACATTTAACTGACTGAGCCACCCAGGCTTCCCTGGATAATATTCTTAGTCATTTTTTGTCAGTCTGATAGATAAGA